GGGAAAGTTAAGGGCATAGCAGAAGCCATTTGACCTTGGGGTTCGTCATTTAGGAGCACTTTTGTTGGGGTACAAGGGGGACTGGCAGCCAGATGCAGAGGACTGTGGAGATGGGTGCACGGGAACTGGGACCAGCTGACATGGACTGCTTTGTCCAAGAGGTGCAGCAATGGGAGGAAGGGGAGAGATGGCTGGTTATGGCCGCCAGGCCAAGTGGAGGGGACTTGCTTCCCAACCATTTATATGTGGATGCTAACAGAAAGTGGTGATGAATCCCCAAACCACATTATAACAAAAATGGAAATTTTCAAAACAAGAGAAATCACCTGCAGCCTTACCATCTTAACAAAGTAGCAATTTTCCATCTTTCCTTCCAGCACCATCATTTTTACAATGTTTGAGTCATCACACAGATTCTCTTTTCTATTGTTTTATGTCACATGAAATTGTCCCATAAGCATTTTCCATGATGGTACATCATTGTTACATTTATCATTTTTTCCAAAATGAAGATAACCTCATTGTTTTTTCCTGATGGTAAAAACACTCTGTGCTTTTTTCCTTTTCTTTTTTAAAAAAATGCAGATAGTCACACAAAGTCTAAAGAGGAATGTAATAACCCATTTCCCACCCTACCCTGAGAGACAACCAGGTTAGCATTTAGGTGAACATCCTTCTAAACAAACCTTCACACATTTACCAGTGTGTCGACTTGTTAAATGTCTTATGTAAACATGAACATTGCTTAACTATCAATTCATTTTCAACCTTGAAGCTAAGGTTTTCTTATTGTCAGGGTTGGGCTTGTTGTTTTGGGAAGTGGAGAGGGGGCTGTGGAAGGGTACACACAGCAACAAAGGAAGCCAGAAAGTTCCGAAAGCTGCCAGAAAGAGGAAGTATTGGGGGTATGCAGTGTATTTGTTTGCTGAGGCTGCTGTGCCGACGAACCCCGGGCTGCGCAACTTAAACAGCTGAAATTTCTTCTCTTACACTTCTGGAGTCTGGACGTCTGAGATCGAGGTGTTCACAGGGCCATGCTCTCTAAAGGATCTAGGGAGGGATCTTCTCTTGCCTCTTCCTGGCTCCTCACGGTTGCCAGCAATCCTTGGTGTTCCTTGGCATGTAGACACATGCGTCCTTTACCTCCTTCATCACATGGTGTCCTTCTCTTCCTCTCTGTATGTCTGTGTCTGAATTTCCCACTTCTTATAAACACACCAGTCATTGGATTAGGGCTTGCTCTGCTCCAGTATGACTTCATCTTAACTTGATTAAGTCTGCAAAGACCAAAGGTCACACTCTCGGGTAACAGGGCTGAGGATTTCAACCTATCTTTTTGGAGGACACAAGTCAACCCCGTAACATGTGGGATCCTCAGGGTGGTGGAGGAATAGGATGGAACAGCGTGGATACCTGCTCTGGAGTGAACAGGAAGGAAGGGACCAGGATAAACAGGCTGAGATTCTGAGACTGAAGAGGGAGATAAGGAAGCTACTTCCTCCAGCAACTCAGGCCTGTGTTTAACAAACATCCTAGTAGTTTATAAAGAGGCCCCAGGGTTTGTCAGAGAGCCCAGCTGCCCGTCCCAGACGCCTTTCCCACTGTCACCCTACCACACCGGGGGCAGCTGCCTGTGGGCCCCCCAGGCCTTGCCACCGCATCCTGCTGTCCACTCACCACCGGATCCATCCGATTTCTTTTCAGCCCGGGCTGACTTCCTGCACCCACACTCCTTTCCTATGGCCCATTCAAACCCTCCTCTCTGCAAGGCGTGCACACCTCCTGTGTTGTATTCTTGCTGCAGCACAGTGTTCCACGAGCTTTCAGGGGCATAGAGACCATTTCGATGTTTTGATCTCCCTTTTCCTCGGGACACCTGGTTTTGCTGGTTTACTCAGTTCTCTTGGTCTCCTTTTCCCAGATTCTTACCGAGACTGAATTTTCAGAGGTAGCTGGAGTTGGGGAAGGATTGCGAGGAGTGTGGAGACAGTTAAGAGGAAACCTGAAGTCTCTCTGCTGGTGGGTGCACATGTCGCACAGTCTGGAGCCTTCCCAGGCAGAGCAGGGATCTGGTCTGGGTGTGAGAGATCAGCATGTGACCAAAACCAGCATTATCATCTCCCTTTGTCAACTTGGCTCTTGAGGAACAAGGGACAGTTACAGGATAGCAGTCAAGGAGCCAAGAAGAATGAGGCTTCTCCTCTTATTAACCTAGGTCTGAGGCAAAGCCCAGCCAAGATCTTTTCTTGCCCTCACAGGCTTCTGCCTACTAGAGAGAATTATTATACTTCTCCAGTGGTTAAAAGTCACCCCACCTTTGGCCCCCTGCCTCCTGACGCTGCCTGAAGCACCCAATAATCTCCCAGCAATGCACCACCTGTACCATCTCCACCATTTAATTATGGGTTGTCCTTGATTTCCTCTCCAGTGCCGAAAGCCACTTCTGAGAAAGACCTGGGGGCAGAAACCCAAATAATACAGCTCATATTAAGTCTAAAGCCGAAATAACAAGAAAACCCAGGTAGAGCCCGCAGCCAGGATGTGCCGACTTGTGTGGGATTGAAGGAGGCCTTCTTGCCCAGGCATGAAAGACACAGGGCTTGGGCCCAGTGGGACGGAGGAGACACGGGGCAGGAAGGGATTCCTGAGGACTGTTGGGACTTTTTTTTTTACCCAACCCCATCTCTTGCCGCCACCTCATCAGACCTCATACTCCTGCGTGTAACAATTGTACCTTTTGCCACGGTCTCCCAGTATGAGTCAGAGCAATAGTGATGGCGAGCAACAGACCCCATTTAACTCGTGCAGGCAAAAAGGGGAACTTAATAGCTCAGATATGTCACAAGATAAAAATGACACTGGTATCAGCCTCAGCAGGATTCAGAGATTCTCCCTCCTTGTCTTTGTTCCTAATGGCACTTCTATTACAAATGAGGCCACTCCATGTAGCAAGAAAATGCTCTTAATCACTCTGGCTTATTTGGCCACTCCTTTCTCCCCGCACTCAAGAAGGATTCTGATGGGCCCCTCACATCAGAGATGCAGTCCCTAGGCCAGTTACTGTCCAAGGGAATATGGTTCTCTGATTAGAGAGAATTTTATCACGGGCTCTGTTTCAAAAAAAAAAGTGGGGACCAAGCATATTAAACAAAACCAGCACAGACCACTCTGCCTTCCAGTGCAAGGTCCACCCATTCAGTAACAGGTGTCATTCCTTCCACCTGGAACACCCTCAGGACCTGCTTTTCTTTCAAGACCCAAGTCCTTCAGTACACACTCAGCCACCCCCACCCCCAGAAAGAGTTCAGTACACATTGGGGCCACCTTAGCACCTTGTACATGCCTCTGTTACTTCACATGCTTGCTCATTTGTTCACTTAGCAAATTCTTATCCTTTAGCATTACGCACAACTCCTCTTGGATTGTGAGTTTCCTGTACAAAGGGATCATGTCCCACTCACCTCTGGGTCTCCACCCTCCACCAGGGTGCTTGGCCCACTGTCAGGGCCCAGTGACAGCTGGGGGCTACGTCCTCAGATGTTTGAGTGACATGAAGGACATGGCTGGAGAAGTTTGGGTGCTGGTTATGGGGATAGGAACTGCATGCCACAGGTCACCTGGCTGGAGTCACTAATTTCTCTACATTCCTTGAAAATCCTCACCCCCCAGACTGTCAGGGAGGACCCTGTGGGTGTCATACCAGCTGCAATGCCATTCAAATGACTGTGCCATGCTGGCTCCTGTGTCATGCCAGCTACAGTGTTACTAGATGACAAGGAGTTTTCAGCTCCATTGTAACCTTACAGGGCCACCTGGTGCACATTCCTGCCTTGCTCCAGGCCTCAGTTTCCCCACATGTAAAGTACATGGGAAAATGGTTCAGTTCTAAGAATGCAGTAATAATTCCAGCTCCACACCCCTCCCCCAGTCCTAACCAGGGTGACATGATTGACTGTTTCCATGAGCAAGGGGTAAGCCATACCTGTATGTCACAGTCCATATGGCCACTTGGGGACGAGTTACACCTTGCCTGGGGAGACACTTGCCATGTCCTGGGGGGACAAGGAGGTGATGTTCGTGTACATCAATCATTCCTTCAACATGTACTTATTATGCCCCTGAGTCCATGGAGCCAGGCCCTGGGGTGTACGGCGGGTCCCAGGCCCACAACCATTTGAGAAGCATCTGCACATGTAGCACATTCTTTCCTGTGTCTTCGCTGGAGGCGAGTCCTTTCCCTGTGAGAGTTACTCTAATTGACCTCTGAATCATTTTAAAGAGACGGTTTATTTGATGCTAAGTGTCTGACTCTGAATGAACTAAATGGGTCATAGCATTCTGAGTGTGAACCACCTACTGTGAGGCTGACTTTCTCACACGACTTTGAGGAATCCAGAAACAGATGGATCCTGGGCAGCAAGAGTGAAACAATGTGTCAGCCCACCTGGCACCTTGCACTGGAGGGAAAGTGTGTGCACTTGGAACCAGATGGCCTGAGTTCAAACGTGGCTCTCCTGCTTCCTGGCTTTGTGCTGGCGGAAATTCGTAACTTCTCTGAGCTATAGTGTTCCCATCTATAAAACAGGGATACAGTCCTGACCTTGCCCGGGTCACTGGTGAGCACTAATCAGGACTGTATCTCCAGAGGGACCTCGAGATGCCCACAGCCATCGCATCAGCACTCTTGCTGTTTTCTTGAAAGGGACAAGAAAGCCATCTGTACAGTGGTTGAGAACCAGGGCTAGGAGGCTATGCAGACCTGGTCGTGCCACTTACAAAGGAAATGGCCTATGAAACAAACACAAGAAAATGAGAGTTGTTTTCAGCCATTTGACTTTATGCTTGTAACTGACCTTCTCATCCCCATCCCCCACCCATCCCTATTCTGAACTGAGAGCTCCCCATGGGCAGTGGCCACGGCGGGCCAGTGCTCTCCCCAGTGGGCCGTGGCCCGATGCCCTGGTGTTTGGTAACCCTGCTGTCGTGCCCTCTCTCGGCAGATCCTTCAAGCCGGACTTCATCCTGGTCCGCCAGCATGCCTACAGCATGGCCCTGGGCGAAGACTACCGCAGCCTGGTCATCGGCCTCCAGTACGGTGGGCTGCCCGCCGTCAACTCCCTCTACTCCGTCTACAACTTCTGCAGCAAGCCCTGGGTGGTAGGTGATGGGCCAGGCTGACCTGGAACCACGTGGGGACAGTGGGAGGACCTCCCAGTCCTGAAATGGGCCCACTCCCCAGCATGGAGACTGCAGAAATTAAAAAAGTCTTTTTTAAGCACCTGAATAAGCAGCTTGGGTCCCAGTCCCCTTCTTGTAATTATTGCCTAATGAATATTATATAACAACATATTATGATACAGTGGTATCTTATAATGATCTTGGTAGCAAGAGGCAGTACTGTACTGTGCTTATTGATACTCTGTCGTATCATTGTTTTTAACAATAGGCACTATTTACTGAGCACTTAGTAATTGCCAAAAAATTGTGTTGTGTATTGTTAACATGTGAAGTGGGCTTGCTGCTCCATTTTGCAGAAAAAGAAGCTGAGTTCCAGAACAAAGGAACTCGCTCGGAGTCATGTAGCCAGTGAGTTGGTGAAACCAGAACTTGAAGCCCTCGTTGCAACCCCCAAGACTTTATTTCCCCTGCCTTCTATTCCTTAGTTTCTTTCATTCATTCACTTGATTTGAGTTTCCATTTAAATGTTACCTGTAAGAGCTGCTTTTCCTAAAATACTACCAAGTCCCCTAAATATTCTTTTTTAATCAATATTCAGAAATTGGGGCATTTTTTTAAAAGATTTTATTTATTTATTTTTGAGAGAGGCAAATGGAGAAGGAGAGGGAGAGAAACATCAATGTGTGGTTGCCCCTCATGTGTCCCCCACTGGGGACCTGACCCACAACCCAGGCATGTGCCCTGATTGGGAACTAAGCCAGCGACCCTTTGGTTCACAGGCCGATGCTCAATCCACTGAGCCACAACCAGCCAGGGCTCCCCAAAATATTCTTAATCCCTCTTACATTGCATGTTTAATCCTTACAACAATCTGTGAGGTTGAATCTCTTGTTTTCTCCATTTGCAAATGAGGAAACCAAAGCTCCGACACCTGAAGTCACTTTTTCAGGTTACTCAGTAAGTGGTGGAGCAAAAATTGGAACCCAGAGTCTATGCCATAAACTACTACGCAATATGCCTCTCTAGAAAGAAGGGAATGGCAGGCGGAGGACATGGCATGAACAAGAGCAGGTTGTGCCTGTATGAAATGCTGAGGGTGTAGGAAATGCTCACTAGGAGTCATTGAGCTGACCTCAGTGGGCCTGGCAGGAATGAAGGGGTTGATGCAGCCAGATGATGGAGAGGATGGATCTCCAGCCGAGGACTCTGGCCTTCCCCCAGAGACAGAGAACAGCTACTGTAGCTGCTACAGCTCAGAACTGTCAGATGCTCAAGGCCTGGGATCAAGGGGGAGGTTCTGCCATATTAGGTAACAAGTGTTGACCAATGTTCTCTCCTCTTCTGACCTAGTTTTCTCAGCTCATTAAGATCTTCCATTCCCTGGGTCCTGAGAAGTTCCCGCTTGTGGAGCAAACGTTTTTCCCCAACCATAAGCCAATGGTGAGTGCTCTTTTTTACTCTGTTTATTTGCGTGATCTGGAACAAACATAGGTGTTTTTGCTCTTGGTCCATCTGAATGGAGGAGGTGGGCTCAGGGGCTTCTCTCTGACCCCTGAAGCTCCAAGGAAGAATCGTGATGTTTTGTGGGAATGCCTGGCTTTTCTAAGGAAAGAGTCATTTCTCCAGGTGAAAATTTAGGCAATAAGACAAATGACAAAGGTGGACAGAATTCCTTGGGACATCAGGAATTTTCAGCAAACAGGGGACAACTTGAACTAGCATGTTGGAGCCAAAGGTTGATTGATAATAAAGGTAAAAGAAGTTTCAAATGTAGGATAGTATTTCATTTGAGCCTGTGCCAGACTTGGTTTCTACACTTATGTTAATAAAAGCAGCAATATTTGATTTACATTAATTGTTGAAGGGGTTTCCTTGTGTGTCCTCTTCACATTCTGACTTTTGACTATATCTGTGGTTGTCTCTGGGAAATGGTTGGAGCTTAACTTGGAGTATGTGGTATAGCCTGCCATTTGGCGGATAGCTGGGTGGGAGGGGCTACTGTCTTTCTGAATGGGTTGGAGAGCTCTCCATCCCACAGCCAGAGGTTGGTTGGAAAAGTCCCCGGCAGCTGGCAACAGCCAGTGAACTGCCTGCTTGCATGGTTGCTGGTCTACTTAAGGTAGTCAAGGGAATACAGGGCTGCAGCCCCACACTTGCCTTGGAAACAGGATAGTCAACAGGTTACCTGGTTATACTAGCTGGAGACAGTAGCCTGTTTGTAGAATTCCAAGCTCAGCTACTGAGCTGGACAGTCCTGTTTGGAGACACTGAAAGGTAGGTAGGGTGCAGGCTCCAGGTGGGAGCCGTCTAACCAGATGGAGGGGTCCTCCACTGATTGTCTTTCACTTATATCTGATCCAGTGGGAGTCACAGAATCCAGGATGTGCTGGTCGGAATAGAAGGGTGTGTGGAACCAGCATATTCCAACAAAGTGTGAACACTGGGGAAAACTGAGGGTTTATCATCAAACCAGCCTGAGCTAGAATCCTAGTTCTGTCTAACTATTGGTTGAGCTTGGTAGTGAGTAAACCTCTATGAGCCTCAGCTTCCATCACTGAAAACCATGGATGATAGTGGAATGACCTCACTGGATTGTTGAAGTTTGATGAAATCATGTGTATAGTGTGCTGTGCTTGACATATGATAGGTGCTCGAAGTGGAATAGGTTTAAAATAAGGGCAAAGCGACCCCCTGAAACATTGTTCACAGCGGGATGGATGCTGGGTGAAGGGTCGACAGCCAACCTAATCTACTGAGGGGGCCAAGCCAGCTCTAGGCTCTGGGAGGGCTTTGCCATCTGTTGTGGGGCCTCATGAGTTCCTGGCATTCCCCACTAGGCTGAGCCACACTTGGAACTGCAGGCAGGCATTTGGCATCGAGGACTGCTGTTTACAGCCTTCCCCTTCCTACTTCCGCTCGGCGGAGACTCTTAGGAAGAAAACAGGGAGGGCCAAGTCAGGGCTCCAGTCTGGGAGTATCTGTACCACTAATAGGTAATTAGATAAAGACCCAGATTCCATGGAACTATGGAGATCTCTGGCCATAGAATCAGGGAACAAGGTCAGGGCTGGATTAGCATCCAGGAGGAAATCTAAGATGCCTCCCCAGAAATTCCCCCTGCCTGGGAAAGGACTGGGACAGGGTGGGTCCAGGCTGTGGAGGTGAGTGGGTGAGGGGAGTGTGCACGGGCCTGGAGCCAGGACAGGTAGGACACCCCAGCTCCCAAGGCCCTCTGTGATCTGTATCACCCCTGACGGCGGTCAGGACACAAGGAGGCAAGAGACTGCCGGTGTGTGATAGAAATAAAACCACTTTACTGTTTAGAATCAAGGACACACTATAAAAAGTGAACATTATGCAACATTACAAGACAATATACATTCACGGAATATAAAATTCATAAATAACATGGAGGAAAACTGTAAACAGTGCTACAAAATTTAGCAACAAATACATTCCTTCTAGACAGGGTTTTCTCTGGTTGGTGTCTCTCCATCACTTCTGGGTCTCAGGACAGAAGACTGGCTAAGGGGGAAAGCGGGGGTGCAGGAAAATCTACAAGGCCCCTCAGAGTGTGAATCCTGGTCTCTATGTTCTTCTACTCCTCATACCACCCAAGAGCCATTTAGGTGGCTGTTGAAATCTGCCTCTCCTATTTATCTTCATTTTGTTTGGCTTTTGCCATCTTTTTCTTGCATAAAACTGTTTTAGTGACATTTTTATTTTAGGCAGCCAGGAGCAAAACACGTGGGTGTCATCTTAGGGTAACCCATATTGGCCATCATCAAGCACAGGATGATGGGCTGGGGCTGAGGCTGGGAAGGGTCTCATTTCCCTCAGTGTCTCTGAGTCACAGCTGTCCCTACACATCATTTATTTCTTGAATTGCTCAAGAATGGTGGTATGGAAATGGTGCTCATGGGCTGTAGCTTGACCACTGTTGAGGTCTGGGGCTGGGTGGGTCTCCCAGTGCTACCTACCCTGCCTGATGGGGCACTGACCTGAGAGACAGAGCCTAGGTGTGGGCTTCCTGGAGACGGAGGCAGAAGAGATGGCCAGGGGAGGCCAAGAGATCTTGAATTACAGCTCTCACGGCCTGAAATTTTCTGGAGAAATCATGGCTTCTCAATCGGATGGGCAAAGGGAGTAAGGGGGCCAAGGAATGGGAATGACCAGCAGACTGCCCGGTGCTAGTTGACACAGTGCAAGAACATGGACGCACTTGCTGGTGTTCTCCCCTGCCTCCCGCCTACTCCAGAAAGCACAAGGATGCTGACAGGAGGAGGCTGCAGGAGTCTCGAGTGCTGGTTCCTTGTAGTTTCCCCAGTTCGCCAGTCCAGCTGCCCAGACAAGAGAAGTATTTACCCTCCGTTCCACTGTAGAATTTGATTCAGGAAAATGGTGGCATGTGGGTTTCCATTTTTTTTCTCTTAAACACAATGTACACATATTACAGCCTACACATGACACAAGATTTAGCAAAATAAAACATTCACAATATGATTGAAATACAGAAGTGTCTCAGCTACCTAATGACTTTAAATTATACAGGAAGTGAACAGGTGAAATAAACAAAGCTATAGCTTATAGAAAGCTCAAAAACCGCCCTCTGACAACATTGCTTTGCAAAGGACCCTTCTTTGCCCGGGACCGCTGTTCTCCTCACCAGGGCCTGCCAGATGGGCCTGCGGCTCCCCAAGCTTATCTGCAGGGAAACTTCAGGTGACTCCTGCTCAGGCCTCACCCCAAGTCCCTGCTATGTGTGTGGAGGTGACCCCACCAGGGACCAAGAATGGTCAGCTGCCTCATGGAGCAGAGGCTGATGTCTGACCATGGGAGGGCACTTGTACAGGTTGGATTAGGGGTTCTACCTTGTAAGACTTTGAGGTTGAAAGAAAATCTTAAAAACACCAAGTCTAGGGCTTACCCCTTAAAAGCCACTGGCCTGCAGACCTCTGCTCCCTCTGCTCACACTGCCCCATTGAGATGGCAAAGCCTCCTGTTTCCCAAGTGCCAAATGTCATGACCACAAGGTGAAAGGTACAAGGGAACGGAATCAATCCCAAGGAAACCGGATGCCTTCACTGTCTTCCCGCTCTGGGATTGTGCCTAACACCCTGCCTGGGCATTTGTGTGTACGTGCGAGACATTATTACAATGTACTGTCTGCTTCTTTTTGTCTCCTGTTTAAATTGGCAGCTCTGTTTCCTAAAGCGGAATGAACTGAAGATACAAATACTAATCGAGGATAAATATCCATGATCTGAAAAAAGAGAGCAATCATATTAAATGTCACCATCCTACCATCCCCGATTCTGTGAAATACACATTATCTCCCACTCTTGGCATCTCATTTTCAGCACTAAAACTTAAAATACTTTTATTTAACCGGAGAATTTATATTATAGTTTTATTTTAAAAAACACAACAAAAACCCCTCGAGCCGATTGCAGAGGCAGGCTTCCCCAGCAACCATCAACTGAAATCCACGAGGTAAGGACCTCGGAAGGTGGCATTCACCCACCAGTGAGCTGGAGAAAGAGAAGCAGGCTGTCCCCAAGCCCAGGAGAGGTGGCCATCTGGCCTTGGCATGACACATGACACTCTGCAGCTTTCCCTCCTGAGCCCAGGCCCCTGGCCCACACTAACTCTCATCTCCCAGCTGAGCCCAGCCAGGAAGGCAGTTAAAGGAAGGCCCCAAACATGAAGCAGGAGAAAAGGGGAGGGACAGAGGTCAGGAGACCCCAATTAGAGGAATGCTGAGGGTGTTCAGAATTTCAAATTTTAATTAAAAATTTTTTTAAAGTCAACTTGGAATGTCATGATTTTCTTCAAACAAGCAACAACAACAAAATAGAAGAGATTAAACTATTGGTGTATTTAACAGCATTGAACAGAATTCTGTGTCCTGTAAAAAATCAGCTTATGTCCTCGTGTGGGTATATGCAAATGTGTATACAAACACATCCCCCTAGGTGAGCTAAACACTACTTTGGAAATAGTATTCTCTACCCAAGTCTACTTGACTATATCTGTGGATAGTGTAAGGTGTGTGTGTTTCTCCAATTTACATAAGGGCAAGGTCCTGGCCAAATCTACCAATGAGTTTTCCAGGAGGAAATCTTGGGGGAGTCAGGGAGAGGAAAGACCTTCAACTCAGTCTTTCACCTGAGCTTTTGTACAAGGCAGGCAAATTGCCTCCTGACCTCAGGCAGATGTTTAAGTCCTCACCAACTAAGAAAGTTCTATTACTCTGGTCTGGCTGCTTGCTCCGGACTCAGACACATCTGGTGAACCCAAGCACCGCTGGGCTGGGGGAGTGTGTGCTGCATCATCTCAGACCCTCTCTTACAGTTCCTTCCTTCCCTCTCCCACTCTTGCGTGAGAGAGACACAGACACACAGTCTGGCTGGGACATGCAGTAGCATCTCCTTGGTGTATAAGATCTGTACACCTTGCTACCGCTTGCTACCTTTGACTGACACAGTTGGCCTTTCAGCAGCATCCTTGTCTGTGTCCTTTAAGTGCCAGAGTGTAGAAAGGCAGAGGGAAGAGGGTCTGGGAGACGAGGGTCTGGGGGAGAAGAAAGCGGGGTAGGTATTACAATGCCGGAGTAGGGTAGTTTTTTGATTTTTGTTTTCCTAAAAAAATATAGATTATGTTATCATGAAGAAGAGGAGAATACATTCCTCATTCTCTCCGGCATGGCACCAAAAATTTCCAGGCGGAAATAGGTGATGTCAAAACCAAAAAGAAGGGGTGGGGTGGGGCCAGGAGGATGTTTCCAAATAAACTGCGTATGACAGCACAGACTTTAAGTGTTCGAAGTGCTAAATTTGCGAGAAAACAGGCACTAATTTCATTGTCATCATTTGGGAAGAGTTAGTGTCCAAGGGAAGCTCAGCGGGAAGGGAGGGAGGTGAGGTGGGGCAGGGTCTGGTGCTCAGGGGTCTGTGGCATTGATGATGCTTTTGTCTGGGGGGGCCCATCCTCGGTACCAGCTGCAGTAGCCGCCCTTCTGCCGGATGCAGGCGTAGTGTTTGGACTGGTAGCCAGGGGAGCCGAAGTTCGAGAGCATGTCGGTCCAGAGACACTCATTGTTGGAGCTCACGAAGCAAGGCAGGTAGTAGCAGGACTTGATCTGCAATCAGATGACAGCCAGCGGTTGAGAGACTCTGCCCTGGTGGACCCTGGCCTGATGCTTGCCTGAGTCTGGATGCAGAACCTGGGACCAGGGCAGGAGGGGCCCGGCCACATCAGCCCCTTAGTGAAAACACTATAAATAATACTTGCTAACACTGACTGAGTGCCTGCTATGTGCCAGACCTTCTGCTTAGAGCTGCTATGTCATTCTCTTCAATTCTCTGAAAAGACATATCTGCCTTTTACAAACAAGGAAACAGAGGCTCAGAGAGGCTCAGTAACTTAACTGCACAGCCAGGTCACACAGCCAGAAAGTGGTAGAATTAGACATTTGAGAGAGCTTTTCCTTCTCAAATGGTAACCAGCAAGGATGAATGATCTCAGCAGTGGTCGGGAACTGAGGAATTAGAAAGATTAAGGCATAAACTTCGGAGTCCAGCTGCCCACATTGGGAATCAGACTTCATGAGCTGTGTGACCTATGGCTAGTTACATAAGGTCTCTGAGCCTCTATTGCCTCATCTGCAAAATGGGGACAATTGTAATAAAAACTGCCAAGTTGTAAGAAAACAACCCAACTCCTTCCCACAGCAGGAAGGCTGTGTGCCCTGTCCCTGTGCTTGGGCCAATGAGTTGGGCCTCGTTGAAGAATCACCTTCCGTGACATGTGGTACCAGTGGTCCTGAGCCAGCTCTCTTGCCAGGGGCCGGAGTTGCCAATGAGTCAGCTACTTGAGTGAGCACACTTGGGACTACTTGGCAGGACCTGCCAGTGTAAGGACCCTGTTGTACCTGCCACCAACTTGAGCCTCAGGAGGGGCCAGGGACGCTGAAGAGCCCTTGTGTCCCAGCGGCTGCCAGGTGGGCAGCAGGGAGGCAGCAGGTTAGAGCAGACAGGCATTCTTCTCTCACCTCCTCTGCTCCTCAGCCTGGAGCAGCCTGGGGGCAACATTCCTCACCACCCCTGCTCAGACCTGCCCCTCTGCCCGGGCCCCACACTCACCCCCTTCCCAGCCCAAGGGCCCAGAGTCCAGTAGAGCAAGAGCTGATATTTCTTGGGCAATGAGCCAGCACCCCATACCTACCACCCCCCACATGCCCGTCCCGGGGCTTACCTTGCAGTTACAACCCAGGTGATACCGATAGTTCAGCCCCTTGCGCTGGGAGATGGTGAGCTGGTCCCACCGCTCCACGAAGTTGCACAGTCCTATGTATACCTTCCCATCATAGATACGGCCTAGAGGGGGGAAGAGGACAATACGGAGAGGGTGTTTTTCCAGAGCCCAGCCAGGAGGAAAAGAATTCACACCTACCATGTACCAACCTTAGGCCAGGTACCATGCTAAGTATGTATCAGTCCTAAGATTTTGGTTAACCCTCCCCTATACCTTTTAAGGTGTAGGGGAGAATGTATCCCCATTTTCCAGATGGGGAAAATGAACTCAGAGAGGTTAAGTGATTTGCAGAAGCTCTCAGTCCATAAGACACTGAAGCTGGGACTAGAGGCCAACTCTTTACTTCCCGCATCACTGATTTCGGCTTTTGATTTTGTTACTGCCTTTCCGACACTGACTGCCTAAAAGGGAGTAGTAGGGCAATGACTTTCAAAGACAGATCTTGTAGGCTGACTGTGAGGTGGAGAGGAACAGGTACTAAAGATCCCTTTTCATTGACAGAAGCACCACGAAACTGAGGGTTGAGAGATCTCCTGCACTGGGTCAGTGGGGGAGCTGAGACTAAAACCCAGCCTCAGTGTGGGAGCCTGAAGCTCCCATCTCGGGCTATGGGACTCAGACCCAATACTAGACACTCCTTACAATCCACTGGGCACGTGGCACAGACCCTCAGGACACCCTGGTCTACCACTCCTCTATGCTTCTGAAGTGAAGGAACAGTGGACCTCAGCCAAACCCTGGCCCACGTGCTACAGTTGGCCGTTACCTGTCAGCAGGTACTGGTACTTGTTGACCTCCAGCTTAACACCACAGAGACTCTCAGATGCTTCCGTGTAGATGTACTGCACATGGGGCATCCTGCTGAAGCCTCGGTACATCTGCGGGCAGAAGGAACGTCATGAGAGCAGGATCAGGGCTCAGAAACCATGCTGTCCTTTGGTTTGTGGGACCCTGATTCCCCAAAGTGGCCATCATGTGACTGGTCCCAGCCTACCCACCCCAGGTCTTTCACTCCAGGTGAGGCCACCTAGTCTCCTCTTGAGTGAGTCATCACTGGCATCTGCCCAGAGAGAGTGTCCTGTCCAGCCAGTCGCACCTCCTCTTCCAACACCCCCACAACACTCTAAAGACACACTTTTCTCAAATCCCAACACCTGTATGGAAGCCAAAGATGAATTTGCTGTGAAAGGGGTCCTGCCTGCTTCCCCAACCTCGGGACCTAAGCTCCCACCAGGCAGCCAGCCCGCATTCTCATGACATCTCTGTGACATTTTCCAGTGTATAAAAGCATTCTCACTCACATCCCCTCACTGTGCCGTCTCCTCACAGAACCCCGGGAGGCAGTTGTACCCCTTTGACCCATGAGGACTCTGGGAGAATTTCTGTTCAGTGGGGGAAAGCCGAACTCAAGCCTGAGGCTCTCCATGCCTTTATCCTTCTGACCATCAAATGAAAGCACTGGGCTATTTTACCACAGATGAAGCACACACACATATGTACAAAACTCCTACATTTTTAAAATTAAGCACATCATAATTATGAACTTGCTGGTATTTAGGCATTTAATCTACAACATACTCTAATACAGCAGCTCTCAACTGGAGGCAATTTCATCTCCACTCCAGGAGACACTTGGCAAAGTCTGGAGACATTTTTGCTTGTCACAACTGGGAGGTGGGGTGGATGGGGTTGCTTCTGGCACTGGTGGATAGAGGCTAGGGATGCTGCTGAATGTCCTGTGATGCATGAGACAGTCCCCACTGCAAAGGATTATGTGGACCCAAATGTTAATAGTACCAGGGTTGAGAAACTCTGCTCTAATAGTAACCTATTTAAACCCATGACAGCCCTATGTGGCAGGAACTATTATATCCATTTCATAGACGAGGAGCCTGAAGCCCAGGAAGATTAATGGCTCGGCTGAGGCCACACGGTTGGTAAATGGCAGAGATAGGAGTCCAAGCAAAGGAATTTGCTCCATAGTCCATGCTCTTAACCACAGTCCTATGGTGTCTCCCACTGCAGCCTCGCAAGTCCATGGCCAAGGGCCTCTGATGCAGGCAAATGCTACTTATGACTACTGTGCCTGCTTTGTCAGCATGCAACACAGCCACTGGTATCAATGTAACAGAGTCTGAACCCACTTGGTGACTCCAGGTCAAGTCCATGGGTCTGGATCTGTCAAGACAATTCTGAACTATGTGAGCTAGTGGGGTAGGGGTGGGGCACCAAGGTGCTGCCCAATCCCATGATCCCTCCAGTGCTCAGAATACGCAGGCCGTGGGCTGCTGGTGGTCTCTGGGCTTATCCCAGGGGTTTCCAATAGGACAATGGCTCTACATTAGCTCCTAGCATGCGTCATTAATTTACTTACGGCATTTAATAAAAAGCCAGACATCACCTCATTGGTGTCTCATCTAAGTGCCTCCCATTTGGTCTAATGGGCTATTTTTTTCTCCTCATCTTCTTTTAAGTGGCAACTAGCTGGCGGGGGCAGGTGGTCCACTAGGAGCTCCACTGGGCCGACAGAATTTGGGAGCCTCTGCCTTTTCAAGGGGAGCACTGTTGTAATTGTGTACAACCATTCGTACAGACGGTTTTAATTTACCTGGCTTCCCTTCTAAACCTCTTCTCCCGTGAGACAGCTGAATGAGGAAACACAGCCAGGCGCTGCGTGAAGTGCTGTCCACACTCAGTTTTCAATTGTGCTGTGGGGAGCCAGGGGGGTATCACACCCCCCGCCCCCGCCATGTCCTCAGTGATGGATGGCGCCGTTCCGGCTTTAACGGGAACCATGCGTAAGAGCGCTCTTCTGTGCGTGCCATCGAGTGAAGCCTTCTGTGCCAGCACCATGGTTTTTGGTGGGGATGATCCTTGAGTTGTTGGCAAATGTTTCTTTCAACTCAGGACTCACTCTAGATCTTCTGGCCCCGTTTGTCGGAGCTGGAGCCCCAGCTCATTCCATGTTGGTCTTTCCCCTTTGTCTCATCTCTACTTTATGGGTAAGAACTAGCCCCTCTCTAGACTCCAGTGACTTCAACTGCTCAGTAAGAACTGGACTTGTCATAATCAGCTTGGCAGCCCTGCTGCTTTTGAGTTTGCAGGACCCCTTATTTTAACAACAGCTCCAGCACTGGCACACAGAGTCAGGATTGGGACGCGCCGCCAAGGGCGGCGTGGGGCAAACACAGTGCTGCCGTGCGGGGTCAGCTCTAAAGACGGCAATACGATCCATGTTTCATAAAGGTAGGTTCTACTCATTTTGTTGTCTTTTCTTTATAATCAGCCTACCTTTCCCTAGATATTGACCCTCAAGTGTCATTAGATCCATCATCAGAGAGACCTGGAATCCGTTTGACAAATTTAGAAGAGTTAGAGTAGGCTTATAATGAACCGAAATCAGAGAATCAGGGCGTCTCAGAATTGGAAAGGGTGTTAAAGGCGATCTGCTCGAACCAGTGCAATGGAGGATCAATGGTGAACCTGGGTTCTGGACGCAGAGTCCGAATCTTGTCTCCACCATTTATGAGCCACTTAGAAAGCTACTTGGTTTCTTCTTATTGTAAAATGAGGCAAAGTACCTACTTCATAAGGTGCTTTTGAGAACTAAGTGACTGAGACTAGTACTCAGCATACAACACTGGGTCAAAGCTGGCTTAAAAAAGTTATATTTAAAAAAAAAACAGTTATATTAGAACTCCTACTGAGCAGAGGGAAGGGTTTGGTCCTCTTCCTACGTGTCTTCACCCCACCTCCCGCTCTCTTAGTGCACATAGTTAAAGCTGGTTTGGAACTGCACATGTAAGCAAGTTGTTCTTTCTTCCCCTCAAGTTTTTTTGAGGTATGGCCGACAGATAAAAAGGATATGTACTTCAGGTGTCCAATGTGATGTTTAGATATATGTGTATGTTGTAAAGTAGTTACCACAGTCAAGCTAGATGACGTATCTGTCACCTCACATAGTTGCTTTTCTGTGTGTGAGAGAGCATTGTAGTGCTACTCGCTTAGCAAATTTACAATATACAATGTGGTACTGGTAGCTCTACTCTCCACGCTGTACATTCGATCTCCAGCGTTTAGCCATCCTGCAAACTGAAACTTCGTGCCCTTTGACCCAAACCTCTCCCTTCCCTACCTCCCTGCCCACAGTAACTATGGTTCTACCTCTGCTTCCAAGCAGGAGTTGACTTTCTTAGGTTCCACATAAAAGGGAGACCATGTGGTGTTTCTGCGTCTAGCTTATTGGACTGAAAGTGTCTTCCAGGTTCATCCTGTTGCCAAAAATGATAAGATTTCCTTCTTTTTTAAGGCTGAATAATATTCCTGTGTGTGTGTGTGTGTGTGTGTGTGTGTGTGTGTGTGTGTGTGTGTGACACTGGACTCTCCAAGCCCCTGGGCCTCCCATCTTGGTGGCATCTACACAAAGTTCTAAGAAGTGAGCTTCCCTTGGGGTGAAGGGACAAATAAGGTGTTTCTGAGTCTTAGGGAATTTGTCAGATATTTGTGCTGGACGCTGCTTTATATCACACACTCATTTACAGACCAAGCAATGGAGTGTCGCAGCTTGGACTCGACTACAGCACCAAGTGCACAGTCTCTCTCTCGGAGAATGGCTGTCTAGCTGGGGAGGCAGAGCCTGAGAATGGAGTCAGTCTCTGCAGAAGGCTAATGAGACCCAGACCTTGAAGAGGCACAGGCCATGGGAGGAAGAGATCTGCTGGAGGCGGGGGTGTCAGAGAAGCCTCCAGCTGGAGCTTCAAAGGCGAGACCCTGCTATTGCTCATTTGATTAGACAAAGCACTGAAGGAAGGAAGTCCCTGGGGGCCAAGCATTCCTACTGCCCAGCAGATCTGTCCTGCCAGACTCAGGATATGCACAGCACATGACCAGCGGGCCTCCCTGTGGGACCAGCTGGGACATAATGTCCCCCACGTGCTGTCCTGTGCAGCTGGCCTAAGAGCATGTCTCTTCTGCACAAACTACAGCCCTTGGCTAAGCAGACGGATTTCCCATGGTCCTGATAGGCGATGAGGTCCTCACAGATTACAGCGGACCTCTGCACCACAGCCCAGTGGCTCAGCTCCAGCTAATCTCCAAGTTTGGGATTGCAACGAGCTCCCTCGACACTCTAACACCACCCCCTGACCACATACCCATAGGTCTCTGCACTCTCAAGATGTGCCTGAGAGACCATCCGGAGGCTCTGGAATTAGCGTATGGGAGAGGCTTGGCCTGTCTTTCATCTGGGTGAGAAGGGTGTTTGTGGGATGGTCTGAGAATGAAGAGAGAGGTCAGACAGGGAGGCTTGACTTCTCTGAGTGCCTTTAGTCCTGCTCTAAGGAAGCCCTTGCTTCCCCCATCTCAGAGCAGACTCTCTAATCCGCTACAATAAAGCACCCCAGGGACCAGTGCCAAAATCATGCAGGCTGGCCTCTCTGGTCTCACCCCCTCCCCTCCTACAAAGTTTTTTTGTTGTTGTTGTTACACCCTTTGTAAAACATTGCAGATCAAGAGCTACATTGCCGCATGACAAACCCACAAACTCAAGCTAACCTCTTTTAGTTTCTTGGAAGACTGGATACAAATGGGGTGGGGGGGCCCCAACGTGGGCGGGAATTATCAATCTGCCTGCTCTGTAATCTCCACACAGGGAAAGGCTATGGTTTGGCCCTGGTTTGCCATTTTCTAGCTACATGATCTTGACAAGTGTGTGACCTTCCAAGTCTCAGTTGCCTCACTATAAAATAGAGAATAATGTGTATCTGTTCCATAGAGCTGTTTGAGGTTTGAGCTATGCAAAGACTTAGCAGAATATAGCAAATGCTCAACAAATATTACTTGTATGGAGTCTTATATTCACTGTAACAAATACTATCTTTGTATCCCTAGCTGCAAGTATAGTGCTAAGCATAGACAGGGTGAGAAGGAGAGAGAGGGGTCTGATTGTCTACTGCTAGGTCCCACTCCTTCTCTGAGTAACAGACTGGTAACTGGAGACCAGCAGACTCCAGGGACCTCTCTGGGTAGAAGGGCAATGACCAGTTCTGTGGGTTACACAATATTGGGCTGGAAGGATGGTAGAGTTAATAAAAAGCATTAGATAGTGACTGATGATCAAAGTAAGAGGGCAGGGAGATTTGGGGAGTCACATAAAAAACACACAGATCGGGAAGGAATCCTGACACCTTGGCTTGGGAACCAGATTTCCCTTTAATCACATGCATGACTCTTGAGTAAATTGGTTCCTCTTTGAGTCTCTGTCAGAAGTAAAATGAGGGACTTTACTTTCTAATGCCCAGCACCCTGCTTCCATGAACCTGGGTGGCAGATGGTGAAAGGACAGTGTAAGGCCAGCATTCTGGGAGTGGGTGTGTGTGCTCTGAAGCTGATGGACAAGCAAATGTTATTTGGCCTCTACACATATTCCCTTACCTCCCCAACCTCCAGTAGCTGGCCTGATACCACTGAGGGGAAATAGGACATTCTGCCCACAGCAAGGGCGCCACTGGAGGAAAGAGGGAAGCAGGCAAACCCAGGAACCTCTGCCTCCCAATTCTCTCCTTGCAGCTCTCTGCTGGCCACAGAATATCTCAAATATGAGGGACTGTTCCAGAGCAGACAGGGAATGTGTTCCCCAAACCTTTGCTTTTGTCTAATGTGCTTTGGCAGTTATTCCCTGCCTGCCAGGGGTTGCACAGTAGGTTCTTGGGTTGTTGTTACTCCTCTTGGGCCCCCTCTGCCCACTGTTCTCTCCCCATGGCTGTCTAAAGACATCAGCTGGTCTCATGACTGAGCTTGGGCAGCCAAGGGCAACCAGCCAGGGCTGACTCTGGACATTACATAACCAGAAGGCTGTGGATGTTTGCAAGACTGAATTCAAAGCAACAGGTTCTATGAACTTCGTGCATCGAACCCCAAGACCTCAGAATGCAAGGAAGAGCGAGGCCTGCAGGTCTGCCTCTAGGATGGATGGGTACTTCCCAGGGGCTGTGTCATCCGCCCTAAATGCTGGTGATGTGAGTACGAACAACGAATAAAGGAGTTGGCAGATCATTTGGACCTGAGTGCACCCATCCTGAACTTCTGATCAGTCACCCACAAGTCTCTTCCCACCTGACTATAGTTCCTAAATATAGGAATCCGTTTTCCAAGGGGCCTCCACAGCTCCTGGCACAGCATGCTGTATACAGGGAGGTATTTACAAAGGTGGGGGATGGACCAGTTGGCAAATTATTCAGTAGAGTGAAGCTCCCGTATTCCTTCCCAGCACCAAAAGCAGCTCCTGTTTAGTAGTAGCATGACCAGTGTCCCAGAATCCTGAAATGCCTCAGCCGTAAGGGCTCTGAAGGGCACCAAGCCCAACCCCACACTGTTAACAGTTGGCAAAACTGAGCCCAGGAAAAGGGAGGATTCCAAGGTCAGTGAACTAGTTAGAGTGGAGCTGAGACCAGGAGACACATTTTCTAGGTTTCAAATCTGATGTTCTTTTCCCTGAGGAGGACTTCCTTAATGTGCTTCACAGTGGGAAAATACTGGGGACTGTGTTGAGTTGTATGAATGTGCCTAGGAAACGATGCTAACTAGCTGGGATGCAAGAAGGCAATTAAAGCTGGGAAAATAGGTAAAGAGAGTGCAGTTCCTATCACAGGGTGAGGTTTCTGTGATCAGCACAAGTTCAATGTAAAGATTCAAGGGGTTAAACCTAAGTTGCAACTTCAGTGGCTATGCAACATCTGTGCATTGTTGAAACTCAGCAGAGCTCAAAAGAGCCCGTAAGACAATTCAGTCCATCCTCTTCATTTTACAGATGGGGAGACGGAGGCTCAGAGATGGCCAAGCAGTGAGCTGACCAAGGTCTCATAGCTACTAGGTAACAAGGCTGTCTGCTCTTTGGTTCCAGAACCCAGCCTCTTAACTGCCTCTGAGGGACCCCACCTGCACTGGCTCTGGGACGAAGCAGCCACCATCCCCTCTTCCTACCTCCTCCCTTCCCTAATCCTCTTCCCCTGCCCCCTTCCCGCCCATCCCTTTCTGCTGCTTCAGCAACACCCTCTCCAACAGGGCAAAAGGGCTGTGTCTGGGGTTCAGACACTGAGCAAACACACATCCTGGTTCCAAACCACCTGGCCTCCACTGGCCTGGCCTCTTCTGGCAAAACAAACCCAAAAATGTGTCTGAGGCCAGCTGTTGTCACTCACCTTCATCTGCTTAATGGTGTAGACCAGTGTGCCAAAGGGCCCCTCCTTCACCAGCTTCTTCCCCACCACTCTGGCCCGGATCACTGCAAAAACAGGCGAGACCGAGACAGGGAGGAGGTTAGAGAGGACTGGACCACATCAGAAACCACATCCCGGTGGCCATCAGCCCCGTTGGGTGTCTAGCATTGCTTGCTTCCCTTTGAGCCAACTCGAATAGAATCAAAGCAAGAATTCAGATGAGAGACACTGCGGGTGGGGAGGGAGGAGTAGAGGGAGAAGGGAAAGCAGTCATCATTCGCATAATTTCCCCAATGTTTGAGCCTGCCGGCCCTGGAAACCCCTAGGCTGCATTCACTGCTGGAGGAGTCTCGACTCTGTGGTCTCACGGTAATCCCAAACCTACTTCGCATGTTAGAGCTTCTTGCCCTCCGTCCGTTGTCCACCTGACATTCCCATGGTCTCCCAGACTTACTCTCTTTCTACCAGGACCCCCTCTGAGCCTCATTTGGGGCTCTTCCTTTGCATGTGTAAATTCATTGTCTCCTGACATGTCTACCGGGTTGCCCTGCACCCCAGCCACCAGTTGGCAGCCCTGCATTAGGATGCAGGCCCCAGTCGGCATCCTAATGGGATGCTCGGTACCCAGCTGTCTACAGCAAAGGATGCAGTAGTGTGTCACTCAGAGAGGGTGGTGGTAGGCGGGAAAGGCTTGGGAGTATGGACTCGGGAGCCAATTGAACTCTTCCAATCCCAGCTCTGCTCTTTACTGCTATGATGACTGTGGGCAAGTAACTTTGTTTCTGGTCCCCAGTTTCCTCCCCTAATGAAACCAGGACAATAATGGCACCGATCTCCTGAACGGAAGGGTTAGGCAAAATAATGCATGTGAAACTCTAGGCACTGTGTCCTGGATGTAGTGTACATTACATACATGGTACTGTCATCATTATTATTGTCATTGCCAAAAATGGAACGGACTAACCATGAAAACATCAGTACCAGAATACTAGCTCCTGTTTATGGCACACCTACTATACACAATAGTACATCCCACTTATTTACTCCTCACAACCACCTGACCAGGGGAGTATAGCATCCGCGTTATACAGATGAGGAAACTGACAGAAAAGTGCAGCCACTTCCTCTGAACCTCAGTGTTCCCATCTGTAAAGAGGGTGTAACTCCACGTCAGGGAACTGGAGTGAGGATCAAACAAAAGATCCTATGAAACTTCACACTACAGTGTCTGGGAGAAAGAACATGCTCAGTAAATATTAGCTCACTATGAATACAAAAACAGCTAGACCCAGTGTGACAATGGCTAGAAGAGGGGCATTTACTACACACAGTGGGAACACAGAAAAGAGAGGGGTTGACTTTGAGATTATAAAAGAAGCAGGGCTTTCTCTTTTTTACTTCTTGTGGAAAAGATGCTGTCTTCCAATAATTGTAAAACCTGCACATGGAAAATAGGTCTTGAAGACAGAATTCAGAAATTGCATAGAAGCTACATTCGTTGGCTCCACCAAAGAAAAACATCATCTAGTAATAAGAACAAGTAACAAAAGCTGGGGGGCTGCCATGGGGGGCTGCAGGGAGTCTCCATCAAGGGGTCCTGGATGCTAAGACCTTGGCCAGAATGAAACGGATTTTGCACGTACAACGGCCATGCTTTGAAATACAAATGGAACATGCACACACACACCTGCCCATTCTGGTAGCTCCATCGTCCTTCCCCACGTTGGATGTCCCACCATGTTTCTCAATTCATCAACTCTAATCTTTTTTTTTTTTAATTCTTTACTAGGAACCAAATCTTCCATCCCAACTGGCTTCTGTCCTGTTCCTTCCCAAATGAGCTTGGACCCTACTTTTCCCAGTCAGACATAAAGTCAGGACTCAGATGAATTACCAGCCCCTCCAGATCTTCTTGCCAGGGGCGGCAAAACACAGAGCCCATTGGCAAAGTCAGCAATTTAGTGGAGGCAGATCTGTCTGGGAGGAGGTGAGGGGCTGTTTCCAAGTCTGCTCTAAAATCGAAAGGTTGGCAAGATCCCAGGCCAGGCTCCCTCAAGATTCCGCCTGCACCTCTGTGTCTCACTGCACAGCAGCATCCTCGGCAGGGAGCCATCCTCCCAGGGACCCAGGGACCCAGGTTTCCTCTATGTTTACTCCCACGGGCAGGTTGTAACAGCTTAACTGTTGGGCAGAAAGCACAACTGCCAGGGCTTTCCTATTGATTCTTCCTGAATGCAGTTGGCTCCCTCTCCTCCCACTTCATTAATGCAGAAGGTAAACCAGGGAACAGGGCTTTGCCTGGGGTGGGAAATAGCAAAAGGTCCTTTAAATAGCTACCTTTTCCTGGCTCAAAAACGGCTTGACCGCATTCAGACACAGCATGTCATAAGCAGACTCGTCCTATAAGTCTGGGTACTTCTGGAAGCTTCTGCACACATAGGGAGCCAATTCCTTGCTTACCCTGAAATGGCCTGAGCTTGGAACCTTTTCATCTGAGCACAGTTCAGTGAAAAGGGAGTGCGTTTTCCCAGTCAGGCAGCCACATGTGAATTTCAGTTCCCCCATTACCACGGCCTCAGGCAAACCCGTGTCCCCAGAGTTCTTTCCTCCTAAATCTCTCCGATAATCTTGGCCCAGTGCCCCTTGTGTGTCTTACAAGGGAGGCACTTATTACTAGTGGAACAGTAACACAGCACAGAAAGCACTGAAGAGCCTGCCTGGGTTGAAATCCCAGCACCGGCACTCCATGACCTTAGAGAAGTTAGTAAACCTCTCTGTGCCTTGATTTCCTAATCTCTAAAATGGGAATGAGTGTAACAATACCACATAAATTTGCTGTGAGGGTCAAGTTCAAGCACTGAGAACAGTGCATGGCCCTACCCAAGCTCCATGAGCCTTCTATCACTACCGTGACTTCTATCGTTGTCCGTCTGTCCTGAAGCATCTTTAGGCTTCTAACGTGCCCTGTGACCTAAGGCCTCGGGGTTCACCCTAGGATGGGAAGAAAGGCCAAGTACTCATCAAAATACTTTGGCCTTGAAAAATTTCAGGGAGGGAAAGCGGAGCACACAGGAGCTGATCAGAACAGAGGTGCCTGGAGCATCCACTTCAGCACAGACACCTGTCCCGCCTCATCACCCATGTGCAACTCAAGTGCAGGCCACCAGGACCGAAGGAGACCTCGTGGTCGTGGTCCAGAAAGACCAAGATGGCCCAGTGTAGAGCCACACCAGTGTTTCCCTTACAAAAACCCACACTAAAATTAAGTAACATTCTGCTCTTCTAAATAGCTCCTCAAAGTCCTTCCAAAGGAAAATCACTGGCCAACTCCAAATCCGCCTGTTTGGTCTGTGAATTTAATATGTCTTTATTTGCTTCCGTCTCTCCTCTGCAATTCACATGTGTGCTATTTTCTACTTTCCTTTTTGGCAATGGGAGTGGTCCCAAGGCATCTGCTGGCCCAGGGGCCACAGTGGACGGGGGGGTGTGGCCAGGTCATGGTGCTCCAGCAACAGAAGACAGTGTCCAAACTGGGAGCTGGCAGCACGTCAGGCCATTCCCGCCACCTTGATGTGGTGGCTGGAGGCCTGCTTTACAGATGGGCTGGCTGACACTGGTTCTCTTTCTTCTCCTCCATGCTGGAGAGTGGCCCACACTGTCTACCCAGTGTCCTCCAGTGGCTAAACCAACATGTGCGTGAACTGGGCTGGTGTCCGGGAAACTGGGTTGGGTGCTGGGGAGGGTGACAACAAGGAGTCAAAGTCCCATTTCCTACCACAACAGGGCACAGTCTAATGGGGAGACAAAGTTTAAAAGCTCCTTACTAGAGGGCTCAATGCCAAGATGCAGAGCACTAGTCGGAGAAGGGGGTCAAGGTATAGCCTGAACCTCAGTCTTGGAGCCTCTCATACTCCTGGGAAGGGAACCTGGGTTCCTGGGGGTGTGGGACTCAAAAGACAACAGGGTAAAGAGTATTTTAACATAAAAAGTGTGTAAGAAGAAACTGACCAGGCTCTGTGTACCTATGTCATTGGACCAGCTTGTCTAATGGCCACTGGATACTTATTCCCCTGTTGTCATCCTCACAGGATGGCAAAGCAAGGGTCCTTTCTAGGGCTAGAGTGCTTGCGACAAAGACAGTAAGCAGGAGACATCGCAACAGGGCATGCCCAGAGCCCATAAGGCTCAGCCCGCTAAGCTCGGCCCAGGTCTTGTGCACCGTGCCTTTTAGCCCATCCAAGGAGGGCAGAGCCCAGCTCTCCTGCTCCTCTGGCTGCCCACCTACTGATTAACTGTCCACTCCTTGCATTTCATTGCATCACATGGAAGATGCAATGAAAGAGCAGAGGGAAGGCACTGGAACACATTGGTAACCATGGCTACCATTTATTCAACTCCTATGTGCCAGGCAGTGCATACGTGGCATCTCACTCTTATACTCATGGTCACCCTATGGGGTGGCTATTATTGTCCCCATTTTCCAACCATGGAAAAGAGGATCAGGTACCCTGAGGGCAGTTTTGTACTCCAAGGAAACAATTGGTAGGTCCCTCAGGAAAGTAGACTCCGTAAAAACCTTTCCACGGGACCAGTACTACTTGCAAAATAGGTCATAATTTGTCTGCACCTCCCCACCCGCTATGGTCAGCTCTGCTAAGGATCAGAAAGGAGGAACGGTTTTTAGGAGGAAGGATCCGCTGAGAAGCCCCCAGTGATCCCCACATCCCCTTGACCACCCCACCACCCTTTCCCAATCACTCACACACACATCCTCTGATTAGTAATAGAATCTACAAGTAATCACCATTAGCAATGTAACAGAACATCATCTGTTTGGCATACTATACTCCCAACAAGGCTTTCATGAAAGAAAAAAAAAACTTGGAAACCACAAAACCCAAAGACCCTAAGTTTTCTCACAACACTAGAGTCTGAGGTTAGACTGATTAATTAGGTGAGACAATGTATATGTAAAGAGGCACTTTGTAACCCTGAAGCTAAACAGATGACACACTGTCATGCTGCTTCCATCGGAGGAAGACGGCAAGGGGCCTAATGTCTTTCC